GAATATTCCATCAAAGAGATGCACTGAGATTCACATTTTCACTGTTTCCAACTGGATATCGGGAGAGCCAACTCTGGGTGGAGACCCCTGTGTCTCCAGCCCTCGCCAGATTCCAGGCCATCTTCTCCCTAAAGTTCTCTGCTTCCCACAGGAGAACGGCCTAGATTATGAAGCTTGCCTGGTGGCTCAGTGTGACGCGCTGGTTGATGCTTTAACCCGGCAGAAAGCCAAACTGCTCACCAAGGTTACTAAAGAGAGGGAGCACAAGTTGAAGGTAGGTCCCTGGGTGACCGACACCCTCAGTCCCTTCACAGTCCCTGCCCAGTGTGGGGTGCAGCGTGCCGTGGGCCCTGGCCAGTAACAGTTGAGTGAATGAGCGAATAAACGATGGCAAGGGGGAGCTAAGCAAGCTGCCTGGGGCCTCCTTACACTGGAGTGACTCTCCCTGAAGCAGTCAGCACCCCTGCTCTCCCCTCAAAGTTGGAATCAGACACCTGAATCCTGACGTTTTCAAGTCAGAAGTCCACCCTCTCCCACCTTGTCCAGGCCCCTGCTTTCTGTTCTGGTTTTGCAGAGCAGAGGTGGCCACGGAGGGTGATGAAGCCTGCTCTGCTCAGGTCTCTGGCCTTGCCCCTTCTTCATGCCCTCTGACTTCTGGTGCCCTCCACGGTCCGTGGTAACAACCCAGCCTGTGGCCACCACAGGAAGGGGAGAGTTTGCCCCATGCCCATACTCCCCTGATGAAAATTATTGTGGGTAACGGGTCACCATGGTCCTCAGTGAAAAAATTCACAGGAGACTCTGGAGTCACAGCATACAGCAAATTTTCTTAGTTAAAGAAACAGCCCCAGGGGGAGGGCATAGCTCAAGCAGTAGAGCGCGAGCTTAGCATGCACAAGGTCCTGGGTTCAATCCCCAGTCCCTCCTCTAAGAACCAATCAATCAATCAATCTAATTACCTCCCATGCCAAAAAAATACATATATTTAAAAAAAGAAGAAGAAACAGCACCAGAGGGACCAGACCCCGGTGGACAGAGAAGGGCTTTTTACATCCCTAGAGGTGGAATTTTCCAGTCGGCGAGTGCGCATGCTCGCTCCACCCCATTTGCCCACGAGGAGAAGAGGGGGTGCTTAGTGATCTTTTTGCTGGTCTTTTGAGTTTATGTTTTGAATTCCTCATTCCCCTACCTGTCTTGCCCTGACTATTCAGTCCCTATCAAAAATGACCGACTTCATTGTCCGGCACTCCATCTATTTTATAGACATTTACCAACTGAATCAGAAAATGTTATTTTCAAGGAAAGAAGGAATGAGTGTTGGGGGTGATCCATGGTTTACACGTAAAGCGGCTGAGCCCATGAAGTCATCACCCAACGAACAAGAACTGGGGGGAGAACCGGTCCCAAGGAGAGTTTCAGACGGTGCACGTTCCCTGCTTTCTCTCCAGAGTTCAGGGAGTTTGCTCTCTCGGGTGTGGCGACCCTGCTTGTTGGGGAGTGGGTCCGTCTGCCCCCCAGTCAAGGGGGCACGTGGAGCTCAGTAATGGAGCAGCGGGAGGAGAGGGTGCCGGGCCATCCGGACCAGCGCCACCTCCCGCGGCGGCCCAGCTGCTCCTCCTCTGACGGGACGGTCACTGCGGATGCTTTTCACTGCAGATGGTTTGGGACCAGATCAATCACTGCACCCTGAAGCTGCGCCAGTCCACGGGGCTGATGGAGTACTGCTTGGAGGTGATGAAGGAGAACGACCCGTCCGGGTTCCTGCAGGTGAGCCGGCCCCGGAGGCCCCTGGGCGGGCGGCACGTCCCTTCTCCACGTCCAAATGCGCCCAGGTTCTAGGAAGGTCCCTGCCAGTGGCTTGGAGTACAGCAGATCCTCCTCTGCCCAGTGAGTCCAGAAAACTGAGATTCTCATCTCGGCTCTGCCTCTCACTAGCTGTGACCCTGACTCTGTGTCATCCTCAAACGAGGAGGTCAGACGACATGATCTCTAGGGCTGAAATGCCACGCTTCCGTGCTTCGACTTCCAGAAACCCCAACTCAACCTCTTCCCTACAAGTGGGAAAGGACGGTCTTGGCCAAACAAGCTGGAGAGATTGCACTGGAAGAAGTGAGTTAGCAGAATCCACGTGGCCCGTTCCTCTGGGGTGCAGAGTCCCACAGGCCTGGACAGATGGCCGCTGGCAGTGCAGGCTTGCCGGGCAGCCCTCCCTCAGCCAGGCTGACTCGGGGTCACAAGTGTCTCTCAGGACTGTGGCCATGATTCAGATGGGAGCTCAGTCCTCCGTCTGTGGGGAAAATGATGAATTCCCTTAATTGGTCCCCAGGAAGGGGACCCTGGATCATGGCTCTCAAGGGGAAAGTGTGAACGTCTGAATAAGCAGGACTTTCCAGCTGAGGAGGGCAGAGCTGTGGGTTTGAGGCAGTGAGAGTCTAGAGCAGAAGCTGCGGAACAACTTGGAGGAAACACACCAGGAGGGAGGGAGCTTCACAATCCTGGGGATGAAGGAGATGCTCTCAGACCCTGGGACAGACTCCTAGTATGGTTCACTTTGCAAAGCGCTCCATCTGGCCAAAGAGGTAGAGTGACTCATGCTTTTGTATATTTTTTAAAAGTATCATTTGTTTCCAAAAAGGTTTTGGCCTAAAACAGCAAATGCTTCTTTACCTGGAACATGAGGGTGCTGTTAAAAGATGATTTAAACGATACAGTGCATTTTTATTTGCCCCGGGTCATGCTGGCAGTGGTCGTGTCTCCTTCACCAGGGCTGGAGGACACGAGCTTAGCACAGCTCCTTCTGGCCCTGAGCCCACGGAAGCGAAACCTTTTCTCACGGCCTGCTGCGTGATTTTTACCCCTGGCACATCGAAGCCCTACACTATGTGCTTCCTTTCAGATCTCCGACGCCCTGATCAAGCGCGTCCAGGTGTCCCAGGAGCAGTGGGTCAAAGGCGCCCTGGAGCCCAAAGTGTCTGCGGAGTTTGAGCTGACCCTGGACAGCGAGCCACTCCTGCAGGCCATTCACCAGCTGGACTTCATTCAGATGAAATGTAGGGGTGAGCGGTGCTTGGCCCGGTTCAGTCGGTGCCTCTTCTGGGAGAGGCATCCACTCTGCGGGGCCACACAGGGCCGTCAGAGAACTTGGGACACTGGTGTGGGGCAGCGTGGGAGGGAGGGATGCCTGAGCCAGAGTCTTCCCACTTGTGAAAGAGGATCATCTGTTCCTTCAGAGATACCTAAGGCAGGTCTGCCCTGTGCCAGGCACCACCTTAAGGGCTCAGGACATAGGCACCCTCATAAGGCTGAGCAGATATTCTAGAGAAGGAAATAGACAATACACAAACACATCTATAATATAATAATATAATGCAACTTAAAAGTGGCAGGTGCTACGAACAAGGTGCTTTTTGAGAAGAGGGCAGACGTGGGGGGGCGGGGATTTTGAGGTGAAGAGAGAGATGCTATATAAGGGAAGAACATCCTGGGAGGCAGAGGGATGATAAGTGCAAAGGCCCTGAAGCAGGAATAAGTTCTCTGTGCTCCAAGAAGAGCAAGAAGGTCAGGGATGGGGGAGGGTAGAGCTCAGTGGTAGAGCGCCTGCTTAGCGTGCACAAGGTCCTGGGTTCAATCCCCAGTACCTCCATTAAAAATAATAATAGTAAGTAAGTAAATAAACCTAATTACCTCCCCCTTCAAAAAACAAAATAAAAGTAAGGCAAATAAATCTAGTTTAAATCCTGTTTTTAAAAAAGTAAGCATGCAAGCTAATAAAAAGTAAAGTTGAAAACAATCACAGAAGATCAGGGGTAAGAACAGAGTCTAGAGAAGTGAGTTCAGAGAGCCACAGGGGTCACAGGCTAAAGGTTAAGTTTAGTTTGCACAACTCGCCCCAGGTTGCAAAATTAGTGAGTGAGGTCATCCTGCCCCTCCAGAGACATTAAGGATACATTCAGGAGACGGAATAAAGCTCTTTGGGGTTTTTTTTTTTTAACATTTTTTATTGATTTATAATCATTTTGCAATGTTGTGTAGTTCAGGATTCTTTTTTTTAAAACCAAAAATATCAAAAAGGTGAGTACCACATCTACAGAATCTGTAAACTCAAGAAAATCTTTATTTGCAAAACGTGGTCATTTTTATACTAAATACAGTGAGTCTCTTGTGCATCTTGGGGCTCACTCCCACACTGTTTGCACCTCCGGTGAGGTTTAGAAATGCCACCTGCCCTGAGTGTAAATGAGACGTAGTGCTGAGGAGAGGAAGGAACCTGGTGGAGGGGAGGGGCTACTGCAGGGGAGGGGCTACAGCAGAGGAGGGGGCTCTGGAAAGTGGGGGCGCTGACGGGGTGGCTTAGAGCTGCTCCAGATGCTGCTTTGGACAGGATGGGGGCGTGAAATGCACAGATGAAGTGGCATAGGGATGGAGCAAGGACTCCTCCGTGCTTGTAAACCGAGGTCTAGGGAGCCAGGTTGCACGGAGCCAGCCCTGAGACCACGAATGTCAGAGTGGACTATATTTATTTCTAAAATCGCCTGAACCTGAATACAGCTAAAGAAATAAAAAACATTCTCCCAATGTCATCTTAATAGAACTTATGATACATTTGACTCAAATCCCTAATTCCATGGATTTACTGCCCGATGCTCTCAGATTGCCTCTCCTTCCAGGATCTACTTTCCTAGTCCAACCAGAGGTGGAAATGTGTCTTTGCATCCCCTCAACCTGAACAGCGCCTTCCCAGCCCCTGGTGTGAGCTGCTCGCGGGCCCCTCGGAGAGGGTCCATAGAGGCGGTGCTGTGGGGGGAGGCACGTGGAATCTGGCTCTGCTGCAATTCCTCCTGAGCTCCACGTGGGGCCGAGAAACAAAACCAGTGATTCTCAGTGGGCAGGTGGGGAAGGGGGAAAGGACAGCTCTTCCTCAGGGCTACAGAGTGGAGGGGTGGAGGCGTCTATGCCTCTCCCTCATCCCAACCCCAGATTCCAGGACCCTCTCCAGGGTTGAGACGTGTGGTCACCCCAGCCCGCCTGGGGACTGAGGTTCGGGCTGAGGTTCGGGCTGAGCTGTGCCCACGTGCAGCTGGGAGTGACCCCAGGGTGGCCACCTTTCGTTCTGGGGTAGGGGCGGGGTCCACGCGCCAGGCGGGAGTTTGTGCACTAAAGTCAGCCTGTCCCCATCACAGTGCCGCCTGTCCCCCTGCTGCAGCTGGAGAAGTGCTGCACGCGGAACAACAGCGTCACGCTGGCCTGGAGGACGCCGCCCTTCACCCACAGCCCCGTAGACGGCTACATCCTGGAGCTGGACGACGGCGACGGGGGGCAGTACCGGGTGAGGCTCCGCTGCTTGTTTGGGGGCGGGAAGGGGCTAGCACTGCCCCTGCCTCGGGACCAGCCCTAGGGGCTGCCCTTACTTCTGATGCCACCAGCGAGGGCATCGGCCACAAGGACGTAAGTCTGGTTGGTGGGCGTGGACAGAGGGCTGGTGGGCATGGGCACAGGGCTGGTGGGTGTGGACAGGGGGTTGCTGGGCGTGGACAGAGGGCTGGTGGGTGTGGACAGGGGGTTGGTGGGCGTGACGGGGGGGCCAGTGGGCATGGACACAGGGCTGGTGGGCGTGGACAGAGGGCTAGTGGGCATGGGCACAGGGCTGTTGGGCATGGACACAGGGCTGGTGGGCGTGGACAGGGGGCTAGTGGGCATGGGCACAAGGCTGGTGGGCGTGGACAGAGGGCTGGTGGGCGTGGACACAGGACTGGTGGGCGTGGACTCTCTGAAGATGGGGCTTCTCTACCCAGGGCTGGGTCTAGGCAGGCAGGGGTGGCGGCCACAGAAAGTTCAGCTTGAGTTTTCTGTGAAGACCGACACAGGTCGGAGGCCGAGGTAGAGCTCGGAAAAGGTCACCTGCACATACCTACTTTCCAGTTGGCCCCAGAAGCACAGCCGTATCGAGTCAACGCTCTCCCACACACCCCTCCCCGCTCCCTCAAGGTTCTATCACACCTTGCCTTGCCCGGTTCAGTAATTAGCTTACCTGGCAAGGTGCTCCATGTGGGAAGACACTTCACAAGTGGCTGTTGGGTTGGGGTGACCTTCTACATTCATGTCCCAATTATGAAATACCTGGGGACAGTAAAGGCTCTTAGTGAGCCAGAAATGCATCTTCTAGTCTCACCAGGTGCTAACCACCCTGGACAGCTCCCCACCACAACCCAGAGCCCCTAATAGGACTCTACCTTGAGATCTCATGCAGTGAAATTCAGGTTCCTGCCAAGTTGTTTTGTTGACATGAACATCAGGGAGCACCAACTCTGGGTGCTCCGAGAGCTCCACCTGTCTGTCCCCAGGAAGACCAAATGAAGGCTCATTCTGACAAACCACTGCAAGCATATCAATTTGCAAATTTCTTCTCCCTGGGAGGTGGCACCCGGTCAGCGAATCTTGCCAAAGGTCTAAATTCCTTTTGTTTCTCTCAGAGGGATTTATGTCTATGTTGTTTCATTTTTTGTTTGAAAGACACCCCCACAAGAATGTCAGAGTTGGCAAAATAACTGCACCACTCCTTGGGGATTACTGAGTCCCTGGGAATATGGGCTCTATGGAGAAGTGAGAAGCTGGGGTCGCTTCGGCCAGGAATAGCAAGTGGGTCATGCACTGGTTCCAGAACTTCAGCCATCCTGGCCGTGCAAATGAGCTAGGAACTGAAAGAGCTCCTTGACCCACTGGGAAGAGAGCTGATGGTTTTGAAATGGAAAGAAAGAGGAGATGGTTTTGAGACATCAGAAGAAGCAGTCACCAAGCTCAAGTGAAGATGGTTTCTCTCTTTGAGCCATGTCTACTCACAAAAGCTAGATCCAAGGGCTAGAATGTATGAGGGTGGGAAAGGCATGGACTCTGAATGCAGACAGACCTAGATTTGAACCCCAACTTCTAAACAGATTAACTGTGATCTTTGGCAAGTTCCCTGCCTTCTCGGAGTCTCCTTATGAGTAAAATACCAAAAAAAAAAATTGTGTCCCAGGGTTGTGTGAGAATTAAGATGTCTTATACAATGCCTGGCACACAGCTATTATTATTAATAACCTGGAAAAACAAATGAAGGGCAACTTCCCATAAGTAATCAGGCAGGAAAGATGTTTTAGACAAACTAAGCTGAGAACAAAGATGTAGGTGAGGGGGTGTCAACAGGACAAGGGTAAGTTTGAAGTAAACGGGAAACAAAGTAAATGTCTAGAAACAAATCTTGGAGTTTGATGCAGAAAAGTCACAGCCTCTGGGGAGGCCAGGAGGGAAAAAGCAGCTCAAGGGGCCCAAGGAGTAGGAAGATGCAATGGGAGAAGACGGGGAGAGGGCGGAGCACCCCTCTCACCCCAGAAGGGGTTCCAGCCCAAATCAACTTGAACCACCTGTGCCTGGTCACTCCCCCTCCTCTGTTTTTTCCCATCATGTGTGATGATCTTTCCTTTAAAACACTTGTTTATTTTGTTTATTTAGATCCTTAACTCATATTTTCTAACCTAAATTCCCATGGGAAGCCAAGAATCTCTTGTTGCTCCAATTGAAAAGGAAGTGAGGTTTTCTGCACCCCTATCCCCATGGAGGGGTCAGCACCCCCGGCCTCTGGAGTCCTGTCCATTAGGGCTGCCCTCTGTGGAGGCAGGACATTTTCAGGTAGTGCCCCAGCTGCTGCACCGCACACCTTCCCAACAGCCAAGAGTAAGGGTTTGTGTCCTACTTGGACATGGTCTGTGAGCCAGCCACCACACACCCCAAATCTCCTTGTTAATAACACTGTTGGGGCAACAGCACTTTTGACATCAACAGGTGGCTAAGAGAAATTTTCCAAGTAACCGAGGCGCCTGATGAGCCATCTGGGTCTCTTGCAGGAGGTGTACGTTGGCAAGGAGACCCTGTGCACCATCGACGGTCTGCATTTCAACAGCACCTACAATGCCAGGGTCAAGGCTTTCAACTCCTCCGGCGTCGGGCCCTATAGTAAAACGGTTGTCCTGCAGACGTCCGACGGTGAGTGCTGGGGTGTCTCCGGGGCAACGGATTCAGGTGCTGTGACTGAGTTCCACAGGCCCAACCCATATCCATCCCAGGGATGGACAGACGGACAGACGGGGGTGGGGAACTCGTGAGGTGTGAAGGAGTGGAAGAAAGAGGAAGTGAGACGTGTCCATCTTCTCCAGTCCTGGCCTGCTCCACTCACCTCGTTCCTTGCATACAAATCCCTCCCCACCAGCCACGAAGGAAAGAGAGAGTCCTTCACCCCATTTGCTGGACCTGGAAAGGGAGCCTAGGAGTTGAGAGGCTCTGGGAGTCTAAACTCCCACTTCCCAGGGGCCAAGAGCAGGTCGGCCAGTCCCAGAGAGGAGGTGCCCAGCTGCCAGGTGGGAACGCCTTTCTCCGGATGGGAACCTACCCGTCAATTACCCAGCACCAGAGCTCAGATCTGAGGTTTACACGCCTTTCAGGTTTCAGGTAACAAGAGCACATGGACATTCCCTTGGATTTGGAGCATCTAACTCCTTTAGCATCCAAGGGAAATTTGATGAACACAGAGGAGGGAGTGTGTGTGTGAGAGAGAGAAAGAGGATCACACAGGGAAGAACATTTGATGCTGGGTACCCACTTCCTGATAGACGTCAGTGAGTCTATGTCTCTGAGCCGAGGTTACAGTCTGCCAGTGAACTCATCCCCTGATCCTGCTCCTCTTGCCCCCTTCCTCTCCAGTGGCCTGGTTCACGTTTGACCCCAACTCTGGGCACCGGGACATCATCTTATCCAACGACAACCAGACAGCCACCTGCAGCAGCTACGATGACCGGGTGGTGTTGGGCACGGCGGCCTTCTCCAAGGGCGTGCATTACTGGGAGCTGCACGTGGACCGCTACGACAACCACCCGGACCCTGCCTTCGGGGTGGCCAGGGCCAGCGTGGTCAAGGACATGATGCTGGGCAAGGACGACAAGGCCTGGGCCATGTACGTGGACAACAACCGCAGCTGGTTCATGCACTGCAACTCCCACACCAACAGGTGCGCACGCGCGGGCCCCGCTCCGCCCTCCTCCCGCGTGGGGACTTTGGGAATGCCTTGTGCGACGACCATAGTCTCTCCTGCTGGTTCCAAGTTCAGGCATCAGGGATGGGAGGGGCAGTGTCTTCAGCCACTTTGGTGTCCAGTTTCCAGGGAGAAGTGAGAGTATGCAACAGAGACTAGAGCAAAGCAGGTGGGCATCCTGCCGCCAGCAGACGGCGCGGCGAGTCCACTGCTCCTCCGCTCTGGTTCTCTTCCGGTTCTGCTCCCCTTTCTTTCACACCCATCGGCGCAGGCAAGTCACTGCAGAGCTGCTCCCCCAGACCACGCCCACTGCCCAGGCCCCCCAACCCCGACCGGGGCCACGCCCACTGCCCAGACCCCTCCCTACCCCAACCAGGGCCACGCCCACCGCCCTGCCGCTCAGGCTCTGAGCAGAGCAGTGCCCACCGATAGGCGGGCCTGGTTGGAGCAGGCCCCGTCGTCCAGGGCACCCCCAGCACTGCCTCGCCCTGACGCTGGCCCTGGGAGTGCTGTCACCAGGGTGGACACCGGAAACTCCTCCTGGGGAAGACGGGCACTCTGGGGCTGCCTTGGGAAGATGCCCGCAGTACCTGGGCTCTTCCACGGACTTGTGGTGTCTTGGTCTCTCTCAGACACACAGAAGGCAGTGGCCTCACCCTCCCACCCTTGGTCAGTGCCCTCCCTCCCCTCCCCCCAGGGATGCGGTGCTCACACTTGGCCTCTGTGTGTGTGTGGGAGGGGGGTGGGTTGGTGGACAGGGGGATGGACAATCAGGGCCGGCCTTTGCCAGGGAACCCAGAAATGGCGGGTTATGGATATCGAAGCCACCTCCTCACTATGGAGTCTCCTGCCAAGGGCCATCTCCACAGCGAGGAGAGGCCAGGGGCCCCAAGGAACCAACCTCACTGGGCTCCAGCCCCGAGCAAGGTCAGCTCTGGAGGCTTTCCTGCCTGCTCTCCCACATCTCCTGCAAATGGCCCCAGGAGGCCTGCTCTGGGGCAGGGACTTGCCTGTGGATCCCGGGGGGAGCTGGAAGCAGTCTCCCTCCCACCTGCCTTTTTACCGGCAGTGACCCCGTCTCCAGAGGCCTGGGGGAAGCGTAGGCAGCTGTCTCTCTGCATCCTCCCCCGGAGCTCGGCAGGCGGAGTGGGCACTGGGCCTGCCCCAGGCCCCTGCTCACAGACCTCTCAGGGGCCGGGTCCAGGCCCACCAGCTCCTTTCCTGCTTTCTTAGGCCAAAGCAGCCCCCAGATACCCTGTGATGGGAGTAACAGCAGGACAGGGAGCATTTATTGAGCACTTACTTTGTGCCCCATGCTGTCAGAAGCACCTGGCTTACATGATTTCATTCAGTCCTCACCAAAGTAAGAGCGTTATTGCCACTTTGCAGATTATGAAATTGGGGCTTAGAAAGGTTCATGGTGGCCCAGATCACAGGGCTAATTGGTGGAGATGTCAGGTTTAATTCAGGATCCCGGCTACCGTGTGTGGTGGGGGCTGAGAGGAGGGGAGGGCAGAGAGCTTGCTGAGCGGGGTTGGATTGGGTGAGACCAGGCTGGGCTTGAACAGGACTTAGTCCTGCGCCCCAGACTCATCGCTACCGCCACCCGGTGGTCAGTATCTGAATAGCACCAACAGGCCCGGCTCTAGTTCCCTTTCCCACCTGCAGGATTCCGCCCTGGGCCCCAGCCCACCCTCCGGGAAACCTGCCTTCTAGAAAACACCCTTCCGGTCAGCCCACCGACTCCTCCTCTTCACTTTCCCATGGTCTCTGCCCACCATCAGCTCTAGCTGACCACTCATTCTCAATCAGGAAAGGACAAAAATGGATTTTTTAAATCAGAGCAGAGCAGCCCTGGCCAAGGCTGACCTCAATGCCAGCTCAGGGAGGGGAGAGTCTGATGGACTCCCTGGAGGAGGCAGGTGACAGTGGGGCCGGCTTAAAGATTCGCCCTGCCTGGTGGCTACGAATCCCCACCACTGTGAAGTGTAACGTCCCCACATTTGTCAACAGCGTCCCCATTCACATCCTCAGGCTGCATGGCGGGTCACCGTGGGATGGCCAGCTGCCTGCACCCCTCTGGGGGCTGCGTTTTTAGATGAGGGTGTTCCCAGCATCCTTTCAGGGAGTCTCCTAAGCTCTCGCCTACATTCCCAGCAGGGCTTCCTGGTGACCTGGCTTCCCGGGGCGGGGGGCTTCTCTTCCCAGGACGGAAGGCGGAGTGTGCAAGGGGGCCACGGTGGGCGTGCTGCTGGATCTGAACAAGCACACGCTGACCTTCTTCATCAACGGGCAGCAGCAGGGCCCCACGGCCTTCAGCCACGTGGACGGCGTCTTCATGCCAGCCCTTAGCCTCAACCGCAACGTGCAGGTATCGCACATCCCCTGGGCCACAGCCCATCTGGCGGCCCCTGGCCCCCGCTGCCAATGCACTGGGCAAAGCCTGGGCTCCGGCGGCCAGGTGTGTGCTGGGCTTCCAGGTGGGGGATGCTGAGTCTCCAGGCGGCTTTCTCCCGAGAGGAAAAAGAGAGTTGGGGAGAGACCACACCTAAGGATTCCCTCCCGTGCTCCCTGCCCCTCTCTGGCTCCCACGTGAAGTAGGCAGCCTCTCAGGGCTGGGCACAGACCTAGGGGGAGTGCTGGCGGCTCAGTCCTCCCCAGAGAGACGGAGATAAGGTGGGAGCCCAGTGAGGGTGTGATGGATGAAGAGAGAGCACCAGCCTTTGTGTCTAGCACCATGCTCCTCCCCTGAAAACTACAGGGGGGAAGGCAGAGCCCCACTGGCCCTAAATAGTATCACTTACTGATTGATCGGTACCTCCACTCGTTTGCCAAAGGGCTTTGAGGCAGCCTGAAGTATGGGCTGTTCTTCCCCAGGTTAGTAGAGCAGATGTAGGAAAGGAAAGAGGGCCGTGGAAAGAAAGCAGAAAGGAATCTAAACCATGAGCCCTGGTCCCACTGCTGCAGCCGAGCATCAGCCTGGCCCCGGCTTCTGGCGGCGGGGGCACCGTGGGGACCAGGCAGCTCTGCAGTTCTCAGGGCAGACTCCTCGGCCTGACATTAGTGACACTGATCCATGTGACAGACAGCAGACTGGCTGCTGCCCGTGGTGACCCAAGCAGAGGGTGGCGCATGGCTGCTGTGCTCTCTGCACGCTCACGGTTCTCAGGGCGGCCCCTCCCACCCTCACTCACCCCATCTTCCTTTCCAGGTCACCCTGCACACCGGGTTGGAAGTGCCAACCAACCTGGGACGGCCAAAGCTATCGAGTAACTAGCCTCCCAGCTCCTGCTCCGCACGGCCACCCCTCACTGTGTTCACGTGACCCCCGAGGGCAGCATGCCCACCTCTCGGGTGCCATCCAGCATCCACTGAGCATCTCAGAGACACGTTTTCTTCGGGGGATGGAGGATGGTCTGCAGGCCGTGCTCACTGAGGCCACTGTCGGTAGCAAACACGGGTATGTGTTTCCCGTCATCCCACCCAGATGTTACAAAGATGAAGAAGGACCTTTTGCAAGGCAGTCAGGAGGCATTCGGGATTTCGTTTTGTTTCCTGCCGTCTGCTTTCAAGGCTTACCTTTTTGCGGGGTGCCGAGAGGAGAGCAGACTCTGAAACCAGCATCCTGAGAGCAGGAGGCAGAAGAACACTTGGGAAGCCCACATCCTCTGTACCGTGCCCCTGCTGGACGCCGTTCCTTCAGAGAACCACGGCTGCAGATTCCCATCTTTGCCAGGAAAAGTTATCCTTTGGCTTTTTGGTCCAGGAGTCTTCCGTATGTTTTGCCACTTGCAGACCTAATTCGGGATGGATAGAGAGGGAAATTAACCATTCGTCTTGATCTTTGCCTGTTGGGTTGAACTATTGAGAACTTTTTAAAATGGTTTCCTTCTGTCCTTCATCAATCAACCAACCTCTCCTTCTCTCTCTCTCTCACACACAAACATACCCCATCACACACACCAGTCTGCCACAACTCATTCACTCAGTTTTTCAACACAAAAGAAAACACTGGAATCTGAATAACTATGTGATGTCTCCACCTGGTAATGGCTTTTCCAGGAGCTGGCTCCCTGGGAAGTTAGCTGCAAACCTGAGCTGCTCCTCTAAGCTGCATGGCTCCCAGCCTCCTGCACATATAAGACAGGTGACCCTGGGGCAGCCTCTTACACTCAGTCCACCTTCACTTTGAGACCATCTACTGTCATCGTGAAAGCATCATGAGAGTGAGCAGGGACCCTGATGGCAGGGGAGGCTCTGGTGTGACAGGGCAGGCAGGACTCTGCAGAAGGCAGGAAACTTAACAATAACCGTGTTTCTGGTCTCCCAGCTTCCTGGTGTGCTGAGTCCACGTGGCCAGGGCAGAGCTCTGGGGTGAGCCCTCCCCTCCTTGCTGGGAACGCTAACCTTCTCCCTTGAGTCCCACCTTGAGTTGTTTCCACCTCTCAGAAGGAGACCCGGCTCCGGGTTCTGAGCCCAGAGCCTGCCCTCCCCGCAGAGCCTGTCCCCAGAGCGCCTCTCCCTGCTCCCCTGTCTTTTCTTCCTTGTCACTCGCCACCTCCATCTCCATCTGGTAGGAAGCCTTTCTCTCACCCTTTAAAAAAAATTATTTTATCAAGCATTTTATTTTTGAGGTTGAGGAGTAACTTGTCTCTTTGCTGGATTGGATTCTGATAAAAACTTGGCCCGTAAACCGGCACCAACTGTGTTGACTCGGTTCTACCTACTCGTTTAGAAGCTGCACCTGCTTTCTGAGTCAGCTGTGCAGATCCTGTCCTCTATTCAGCAGATCCGACAGTCCTACCTCAAAGCCCGTGCTCCTGGACCCACGGCTGCCTGCCCAGCTGCGTCCACAGGTGTGGCCGGCGAGGCCAGCCGCCCGGCGTCTGCAGGAGCTGCCCGGTGCTGTGTTCGAGCCTCCACCGCCCAGGTCCTGGCAACCATCGGCTTCGTGGAGCTGAGGTCTTGCCTCCTCGTTCTCACCCCTCGGTGATTTCCAGGGCACATGGAGGCGCTCACGTCCTGTCTCGAAGCTCCAGCCAGAACCTGGCAGATGACGCTCACGACCTGGGCTGCCCGGGCTGCACACCCAGGTCCTCATCCACGCAGCTGCCTGTATCTTCTCTACTTCCACTTCCCTTTGGACTCACTCCTCGGCCACAGCCCTGGTGGACTCGGCTTGGAGGGTGGGAAAGGTTCCTAAAGGTTGAACGACACACAGGAGCCATGGCCTTCCTGGGGCTGGGGAAGTCATGGCCAGCAGGTCCTGATGCATCGACTTTAGGAACCGTCTTTTGGAAAAGATGAGGCCAGCCTTCCAAGAGTGAGAGTATGGCTGGGAACACGATGGGGAGGGGCCACCCGGCCGAAGTGGCTCTTATCCATGGAGTCTGCATGAAAGGCTGGGGAGCTCCCACAATCGTCACAACCGGGGTGACCCTGTGGCCCTGGCTCTGCATCTTTGGAGAAGAGCTGCTCAGGATCACCCGGGACCTGGGGACATCCTTGGGAGAGCAGCACCTGGGTCAGAGGGAGATGGAAAAGGAGAAGGGACGTTCCCATGATTCTGGGGCCTCTCTAGGAGGAACACGCCCTGTGGCTCAGAGAGAAGCCGCCAGGACTCCGTCCCCACCTGCAGCTGGCAGCAGCCCAGAGGCACTGTGAGTGCCAGGAACAGGCAAGCATCTACCTTTCCAGCCTCCCCCAGGGGCCCAAAAGCAATATGGCTGATACCAGGGACCGCGCCAGGCTGTCCTGTGTACAGCCACCCCGCCTGTCCTCAGCACAAAACACCTTCCAGGAAGAAGAACGGACCTCAGGGAGAAGGCAGGTCTGTGCTGCACACCTGTGTTCTTGAGGGACCAGCAGACCAAAGACAGGCCTGGTCAACAACCCACGGCCTATGTCACCCTCCCAGGAAGCCCTAGGATTCCAAGTAGAAGCGACAGGCCATGGGCTTCTTGCCTGCCATCGATTTCCCTGCTCCTCTACCAGGCGGTGACATTTTTGTACATAAAAATGACGTCAAAATGATGCTTTGGTCAGGCTGGCTGAAGGATGACTTGGTGTTCATCTGTCAAGCAGTTTCAGTGAGACAGGAATTCGAAGTAATTTAAAATGTCAAGTTCCATTACATTGTAAATAATTCTACAGCTTGTTCTTCACTAGTGAGCAAGTTTGGTCAAAGTGTACAGCTTTCCTTTTAGACTTAATCTCTTTAAAAGAATATCCAGTAGCATCTCATTGCATAGCATCCTAGCTCCTAATTCGAAGCAAGATAAGACCTTACACACAGCCCAGCTTCCCTCTTGTCCTGTTTTGGAAAATAATGGTTCCAATCAAAGTGGGCATCACTAATCCTGACCCACAAAGTAGCTGATCTAAAGACTGTAAAACTGTAGAGAGTTTTAGGCTGAATCTTCAGCCCGATGTGTACTCTGCAGTTGCGACAGTGCCCTCCGGCATCCCATGGTCCGCCGAGACCGTGGAGGGTCGTGCTTGCAGAGTGAGCATGGGCAGAACGGGTTCCCCGAGAGTGATGGGAGCGGGGCCCAGCCCCCTGCTCCTGGTGCCCGAGGCTGCCCTGCCCTTCTGGCGCCCCAGCCCTCAGCCGACCAGAGCACTCTCAGGGAAGGACCTGGATGCAGGATTTATGTGTAGTTCTTCCAGGGGTATTTGCATTTAAGCCTTAATTCTAATTGCAAGGGAAAGGCTTGGTCCCCTAAGAAGGCGTGTTTCAGAGCAGGTGAGCAGGCAGCTCAGAGATGCGACAGCTGCTGATCCCATGGCCACTTCCCGGCTGTGAGGACGCGCGGGTGGGTCAAATCCTCGGGGGGACTTAAAATGCGAATGCTGAAGAACACTCTCACAAGGCCATGGACAATGCCAGGCATGGTCAGCCTCAGCACTAGGGACACTGGGGTGGGTAATTCTCTGTGTGGGGGCCTGTCCTGTGCACTGTCGGATGTTTGGCAGTGTCCTTGGCCTCCACGCGTTAGATGCCGGTAGTGTCCCCAAGTTAGTCTCGACCACTGAAAGTGTCTGCAGACATCGCCAAGTGTCGCCCAGGGGCCTCCCTGGTTGAGAATCACTGGGTTACGCCAGCAGCTTGTCACATGTCAATATGCAGAGTGACGTGGGGGACGTCCACTCAGTGTTACCTGCAAAGCCTGCGTCACGAGGGCTGTGGTTCTTCATCTTAACACCCAAGACCAGGACTTTCCAGGTCTGCGTGTCCCACCAGATGGGGCTGGTCAGGAAAACGGGGTTGGTGGGGGAGCCTCTCACAGAAGCCAGCCTGTCAGGTCCCGCTTTGCATTCACGAAGATGCCTCCAACCCTAGCCCCTATTCCTTGAGTGAGAAGCTCGGTACCCACGTTTTCCCTGGCCACTTTTGACTGGAAGCTACAGGAACTTCTTAGTGGGTGTGTGGTCTTCAACTGGTTAAAAAGTCAAATCAGGTATCGCCGGAAGATGTTCAAGGTCTATGCAGATTCTGGGAAATCTCGGCTTCTGTTTTGTGAGTGAACCAGGAGCTGTTTTCATTGGTCACATTCCTCCACAGCTCCTCCTCGATCCATAGCTTAAATCTTCCGTGGATGTAAAACAAGCAAGAGCAGGTTTGGGGCAGGACACCAAGTTCAGCCCTCAGAACCTCTGCTCTTTTCACCTGGCTTTGATGCTGGTTCATGGTATGGTTGGGGCTAAATCTCTTCCATCTTTCTGTGCCTCAGTATCCCCGCCTGAGCGCGGGCCTGGTCCTCCTCACCTACCTCCTCTGCTGTGTCGCGAGGGCTATAGAATACACTTCTTCGAGAAAAAAAGTGGAGCCTTTCATCTACTGAGCCCAGGCTAATGGTTCATACTCAAAGGATCCAGCCAGCCTGAGTGGCGACTTTGCTGAGCGTTCTCTGCCGAAGTGTCTCCCATCTAAAGCCTCTTCTGACCAGAGCACAGCTTTATTACAGAGCTGCTGGGCCGTGAGGGGGTCAAGTTCACGTTTAAAGCTGGCTGTTTTAATGGCCCCCTTTGTGTGAAGTGCTGCACACAGGAGCCGTGTCTGCATCTCAAAGGCGCCTGCAGTGTGTGGGAAGAGGGTGACCACCTTCCTGCTGCCTTGGTTACCTAGGTTCTAGTATCTAAGGGGTCCCCCAACCCACAGTGTGTCTCCTTTGTTTCCAAAGATCTCGGCAGAGGGAGCGGCTTTGGAAATTCATGGTAGAAGATGACATTTAACGGAAGTGCGGTCTGGAAGGCCGGTGGTGGTCCTCAGAGGCTGGGACCCGCTTGCACTGTTAAGGGTGGGGGCTCCTGGCTTTCACAATGAATGATGGTGACTCGAGTCAGAGAAGGACTTGGGAGCTGAGACTACAGGCAAGGCTCTAAGCCCAGAGGCATCGCTTTCTCCCGAAGAGTGCAGGCTGCCTGACCTGGTCCTGGGGAAAGACCTGGGGGGCTCTCGGGCCAGCGAACCCTCAGGAAGGCTCGGGGGAGAGTCCAAGACAGGCTTCAGGTTTGGAAAAGTGACTGCTTGCGACTGTGGGAGCAGGAGCATGGCGGGGGCTTCCCGGGTGAGACTCCAGCCTGGAGAAGGCTTTTCTGACTCTTCACGCCGGGTAACCGGACCTCCCAGGCCCCGGACGTTCTCAGCACCGAGAGGAAGTGCAGGGTGCCCCAAGCAGAAAACGTGAAATGCATGACGGAGCATCACTGCTTTTGCACTGAACCGTTGTATGAAGCATGAGCGATGTGTGTTTAACGTTGGCAA